AAGAGGCGGCTGCGGCTCCAAGCTCCCTTCCCCCTCCTGCCCCGGACGGCCACCCGACTGGGGGGACGCTCTCGATTGCCACCTACTGTCCTCCTCGGGCACCCGCTCCTCCGCGCCTGGGGGGCGATCGGGGTTCCGCTCATCATGAACAGCAACAGCACCTGTACAGTTGCTAGTTTGAGGCTGGTGCTGGTATTCTGACAAGAGTGGCTCGGCCATGACTAATAGAGTCCTCTTCTCGAAGTTTGAAAAATTTTGGCTGTAAGTCCTTAAGGAAAAAAGCGGTTTTTCTTTTCTTTTAAAAAATGTCCAGCAGAGTCCTCTTCGGTCTGTAATTCCTGCAGTGACGCCTTTAGCCAGTCCTTCTGTAAACAAACTCCAATTGCAACTTGGGAGAGCTCAAGTCAGTAAAGGGTTAAGTGCCCACAGCGCGGCCAGCTAGCGGGTCCAAGGGGGTGCAGCAGCAGTAACAGTACGTAATGTGCAAAGGGGGTGGACCTCAAGCCTCCCCGCAGAGCGCCCCCACGATCGAGGAGTTGGTGGGCAAGGAGATGAGGTTAAAGTCCAACGGGTTAAACCCAGCCCCGAAGGGGTTAAAACTACCCGATGACGCTGCCTCCGAGGGGCCGAATCCACAAAGGGTTAAATCCCCTGCCGCAGCGCCCACAAGGGGTTAAAGTCCCAGAGCCACCTCCTCCCACTTCCACGGGTGTCGCTCCAACCCGAGCTCCCAGTTCCCTAGGCCCGGCCGGAGCCTCAGCCGAGGACAGACAAACTCATCTCCCCTTTGGCTCGATGCTCGGCTCAGCTCAGATCTCCACCGCCTCCTCCTCTTTTCCCCCCTCCCTCCTCCCCCTTCCGACAGCAGCTCTTCCGCCTCCTCCCCCAACTTCCCCTCCCAACCTGCCTCTCCACCTGCCAACTTCCAACTGCTGCCTCCCAGCCCTCTGCGCCCCTTTTATATAGAAGCCTGTCCGCCCCGCCCATGCGCATGCGTAACGGGGTCCCCGTCTCAGGAAGCTGGGAGTCGTAGTTCCCATCCCTCAGGCCCGCCGTCCTCGCGCGCCGTGCGACGTAGCCAATCCAAGAACGCGTAGGGGGCGACTTCCAGGCCGCCTCCTTCCATCGCACAGCCCTCGCTAGAGAAACGTGAGTGACCATTGGCCAGGAGTCACACGTCTCGCCGAAGAAGGAAAGCCAATCGCAGAGAAGATGGGGCGGGCTTTGGACCATACCATTCTGCTTCAGGAATACGAGAAGATTCGATGGCCTCTGAGGGCCTACACAGAATATTTTTATTAAAAGGTGCGTTTTAAAGGGTATTATCGTATTCTATCCTCAGCGGAAGGGTTCCGAAGGTCATAAACATTTGTTAGCTAAAGCAAAAATGGTTTATTCCTAAAAAGTAGTCCCTACAGTGTAAAAGAGGATTAAATCCTATAAAGAGAGATGTTGGCCTATGGCTAATAACTCTCGATTCTTAAGATTACAGGAATGGCTGCAAGGTGTGTGTGGTTAATGCCTGGGACTGACATTTGCGGAAGGATATCGTGAACGTATTTTGAAAAAAACGAAAAGCGTATGAAGAAGTAAACAAATGAAGAATAAAAAGTGCCGCCTTAAAGGGACAGTGTGACTGCATTAGTGCAGCAAGCCTGGACTAGGCCTTGGAGGATGAGAAGGCAGGTTCGAGTCCCGGGTGATTTCCACCCTCGGATTGGCCTTGGGACCGCTGGACGAAAGTGGCCGAGCCCCAGTCCCGGCCTAGTCTTTCAGGGCCACGGCCGCCCCAGGACCAGTGCAAAACGGTGGGCCGGTGGGCCGTGACCGAGCCTCTCGCCCGGGCGGGGATCCGGAAAGCGCGGGGTGTGCACCTGGGGCTCCCAGGAGACCCGGGGTGGGAAGGCCTCGCCCCCGGGCCTCAGCTTCTGTCGAAGAAAATGGCCTCCTGGGGCCGACCGGGAACCTTTCCTGAGCTCAGACAAGGCAGTCCGGGCCAGATGATGGACCTCTTTGTGGGGAGGTGGGGGAGAAGGTTCAAAATTAATTCTGAGTTTAAATAATCAACCAGTCTCTCCATCCATAGAGGCTCTTCTCATCAGTGGGCGCTGGGCAGCACCGGGAGGGAACGGAGCCAAAGAAAGAGAAGGTCTTGCCCAGAAATGGGGGCAGGGGGATGCTGGCCCAGGACTTTGGGGGTAGACTCATGGGGGAGGGAAGGTGACACAGTCTCCTTGAAAAAATTCTCCAGATTCCAAGCTCCAGCCCAGAGGACAGGGCCGCGGAGTAGCCTAAACTCTCCGCTGTAATCATTTAGGCCAAAAATCTCAGTGTAGTAACAGCCTCTCCCTCTTACCACACACCCGTGACCCATTCTTATTTCTTTCTTAATAGCAACATCTTACATCCTGGCCTCTTTCTAACATATAACACTTTTGTACACACAGTCATTTGACCCCACCTCAGCCCAGTGAGTTAGGGTAGGAATGATTGTCTCCATTTTAGAGATAAGAAATCTCTGAGACTCCGAGAAATGAAGTGACTTGTCCAAGGTCACATGACAACTAAGTGGCAATTCTTGCTAGAACGAAGGTCTTTTTGACCCTCGTGTCATTTTTCTTTCACAAACAAAATTCTCTTTTTTCTCAGGAACTTTGGATTTAGTTCCTTTCTATTTCCAACAGCTTCAGCCTAATTAAAGCCCTCGTTTCTTCATTTAGTAAACATTTATTAGGAAGGAACAATGATGAATAAAATGTCATCCTTGCACATGGACAGTGTGGAGAGGCCATTAAACCACTGTGAGTCAAAACGACAAATGAAGAAAATCCTGGCAAGGAGCTTGTGAGCCAAGCTGCTCAGGAGTTGGGAATTAGGGACAGGATTCGTGGGGGACATGTCTTCTTGGCTCTCTAGGAAGGATGAAGGGTTTTTAGGCCCAGTAGCATGAAGAAGGATGTTCTATAAAGAGCAAGCGTCATGTCCAAAGAAAGGACTTGTCTGGGAACTCAGGAATGGTTCCATGGGGAGGTGGTGATGGGCATCCCCCAAGGGAGAAGCAAGCAAGAATGCCTCTGGGGCATTGTTTTGAAATTGACCACTCCAGTCCCTGGGCTTCCGAGAAAAGCCTGCCCTTCTTTGTGCTCCTTCATCAGTCATGCAGGAGACTCCTGTGAGCAAGAGCTCCCCCTCACACCGCCAGCTCCCTGAGGAAAAGAGGTTTTGCAGAGAACTTGAATGGGAGTCAGAGATCTCTTTATTGTTACCACATTTTCAGACTCCAGAGGACTCCTGGGTACCCTCATTCAGGGGGATTGAAAGGTAACAGCTGAGCCCAGCCACCCTTAGTTTATTGAACAGGGCTCATTTGTCATGTGTGGGGAGCGGAGGGCAGAATGATAGGTTGTGGAATTCTAGAATTCTGTCAAACAAGAGGCCAGGCACCTTGATACTAGCTGAGTTTTAACCCATTGCCGGGCATTTTACATGTCCTGGGCATTTAAAACCCAGGACTGGGAACGCCTGGGTGGCTCAGTTGGTTAAGCATCTGCGTTCGGCTCAGGTCACGATCGCGGGGTCTTGGGATGGAGTCCTGCATGGGGCTCCCTGCTCCGCAGAGAGCCTGCTTCTCCCTTTGCCTCTACCTGCTGCTCCCCCTGCTTGTGCTCTCTCACAAATAAAATCTTAAAAAACAAAACCAAAAACCCCAGGACTGCCTTATAATGAGATCTTCATCCTCATTTTACAAACAAGGCAACCCAGGTTCAGAGCAGTTACGAAGCTTGCCCAAGTCCCACACCTAGTTGTGTGCCCATTCCTGCATCCCCAGCACCGCTTTGGTCCCACCCCTGCTGGGGTCCAGCTTTAGCACAAGGGTTTATTCAGTCTCTCCTGTGCCCCTGGGCTGGATCAGAGAGCACCAGGGCCTGTGTGTCTGCCCCGAGGGACGCCCTCCCCACCTTGAGAGAAGGACTGACGGAGTGACTTGAGGCTTCCAGTGGGTCGAATGATAGCCAGCCTCAGGTAGTGGTCAAGGCCCGGAGCGAATAGAGGGAACTCAGGGGTTTAAGGGTTTCCAAGAAGGGGCCTTCAGAACTGCCTCTTCCTCACCGAGGGCAGGAAGGTCCTGGGGTCCAGGGGGGTGGCAGCTGCAGGGGTTCAAGGCTGCTGTGGCCCTCCGCAGTTGGGGCTCCTGGCCAGTGGCCTCTCACGCGCTAAAACTAGGAGGCGCTCAGAGTGGCGAGTTCCCCACCGAATACGGGCCACTGCTGGAGCCAGAGGGGCCCGAGGCGAAGGGGGAGGGGACGCGACAGGGTTGTCGCAGACCAGCGAGAGACCAAGGCCGCCAGGCGGTGGGAAAAAGAAGTTCGGAGTCCGAGCAGCCGGCGGCACCCGCAACTCTGTGCCCACGCGGGCGCTCTGCCCACCCCGACGGGGGCTCCCCGCGCCCGGCCCCGCCCCCACTCCTCAGGGCGGGGCGGGGACTAGGCTCCCGCTGGGTCTTGGCCTTCCAGAAAGTTCCCTGGGAAAGCCAGAGCGCGGAGGTCACGCCAGCTGTGGAGGGGGAAGCGGGCGGTGGGCACTTCCGGGGCCCCATCCCTGCGGCCCGCGCTCGACACAACGAGCAGCCGCCTTTCCCTCCGCGCTGGGACCCGGCCTCCGCCCGGGCCCCGCGGGCTTCCTCTCCTCCCCGCCCCCCAACCCCAGCTCGCCGGGCCTCCCCTCCGACGGGGCGGGGGGCGGGGCCGCGCCTGGGCCCCACCCCCCGGCGACAGCAGAGGGCCCCCGCGCCCCTCCCTCGGCCGCCCCGCCCGCCCCCCACCCCCGCCCCCCTCGGCCCCGGGCCCCTGTGCTCGCCGCTCCTGCTGCGGGCGGGGGGGGAAGACCGCCGGCCTCTCGGGACGGTCCTCGGGGGCGCTGGGGGAGGGGCAGGGAAGAGGCTTGTGCCTTGAGCGCCCAGACCCGGCTTCCCGCCTCACTCCGTGGGGACCCAGACGGCAGAAGATTAAGGTCTTATTTTATTTAGTGAAACATTCATTTGTAAGTGAATCTTCCGTGAAGACGTCCTGAGTGTGTGTGTGCGCGGGGGGAGGGAGGCCAGCAAAACGCAGCTCACTCCCCTCCCCGCCAACTCGGCCGGGCCTCCGGGCTTCCCTCCCTCAGCCTCTCAGCCAATCATTCTTCCAGGCCCCAGCCCAAGTCCCAACTTGCCCAAGAGCTGGCCCTCCACCCGGAGAGGCTGGGGTGGGAGAAGAGTCAGGTGATCCAGAGGGAGGGGAGGGCAGAGGCTGAGACCCGGCAGCCCCGCCCCCGAGTCACGGCCAACCCAGAACCCGGGACGTGCACCACTCCTACACCCTCACCAGGGAGCCTCGATGTTTGGGTGGGAGGGGAGAAGGCGTCCGAGTGAAGTCGCGGGGAAGGATGGGCTCTTAAATGCACCCCCCCCCATAAGGGAGCGGTGCAAAGGCAACACTGAGTCGTGGGGGGGACGCAGTTGATGCTGTTCTCCTAAACCCTAGGAAGGCTCAGGGCACAGCAGGACAGGTGGCTCATGGCCACCTTAGTTGGCTGCAGAGACCCCTCCACTGAGAGTCACCTCTTCTGGGTCCGAAACTGTCGGAAGAGCCACTGGACGATGAAGGGCCACAGGAGGAAGAAGAGCACCGTGGGACCCGAGAGCCTGAGAGGCCATGGCCGGGCACTGGGCGGGGTCCTCTGCTGCCAAGAGGGAGCGAGTCAGGGGCCAGCCCAGGCTTCAGCACAGACTGGGCCCTCCTGAGGAACCTGCTTCCAGAAGTAAGCGGGAGCTTCGTCTGGGGGAGCTGCCTCCCTAAGATTGTAAGAACGGGAGCAAAGAAGGCACTGCACCCAAATCTGCACCACGAAAAGGGAGGGGACCCTGGGGTTCCCAGTGTGTCCCTGACAGCTGACCTCCATTTCCCTCCCACATCCTCTGCCCAGGACAGTCCCAGGTGCCAAGGGGACTACAGGAGCTGCCTGGTGGAGAGACTGGCTTCCAGGCTGTCTCTTCTCGGCCACAAATCAGTGGCCCTGTTGGTGTGGCTTGAATACCCAGTATTATAAAGGATGTGCCACATACTTCAAATGGTGCTCAGATTTTCATTTCCAACTATCATCCTTTGCTAAAAGGAGCCCGGGCTCCTTGGAGAAGTGGCTAATTCCAGGTCTGGAGCAGGGAAGGTAGAGGTGAATGTGGGACATCTTGTACCAGAAAGCAAGGAAGCTTTTAAAGATTAATGAGGTCATGTTATGAGAACATAGGACCCAGCTTGAAAGGGTCTCCATTGACCAAAATTGTGACAGTGTAAGCATCACAAAGAATTAATTTCAGTTGACTGAAATACTGAATCTTTAAAATCCATTAGTCCATAATGATACTCAAAGTTGGAAATTTGTCACTATTGAGGTGGCTGTTAAATCAACTCCCTACTTTAAAATAGGTAATTAAAGAGAAAGAATTAAGCCTTTATTCTGCCTTTCCATAAGGCACTGTACTTCAGGGAACTGCTAGATGACGCACTACAGAAAAGTGAAACCTAATATATGGTAAAGAAATAATAGAAATTAAAAATCAACATTTTTTCCAAATATTGATCCAGGCAAGGATTATCCATCAATTGTCAAAAATCATGTGGCCAGTGGGGTTAATGGGGAAGCTGGACATTCCCTGGCTCCAACGGTGATGGGATCCGACTGTCACCCCTTCATCTATGCTGGTGGTCCATGTAAGAATCATTTATGGTGGGACATCCAGATCTGTGTCCCCTGATGTGAAGAACATCACATCTGACATAATCTGGTCATGTAAACTAGCCACGAGGATGTAATCAGAAAGACCCAAAAAGGAACATTCTACAGGACCACTGCACTGGCCCAGTCCCGATAAGTCAGTAGCAAGGAAGAAGGGCTGGTCTGGATGAAAGGAGTCTTAAAGGACAGAGGACCCAAACGCAGCACGTTTTGACTGGACAGAGAAGCTGGCAAAGGCGATTTCAGGACAACTGGGGAGATTTCAGTTTGGATTGGGTGTTTGATAATATGAAGGACTTTGTGTGCTAAAATGTTGTCGTTTGGGCTAGGTACTAGAATGTTCTTATTTTTAGAGATGGAAAACCAGCTATTTCGGGGTGGAGTCTTTAAAATCTTCAGCATGTAAAATTAGCTAAAGGTCAAATAAGTAAATAAAGCCTCGAAGGGGTGGGCGTTGAAAGGTGAATCTGAGGAAATCCCTGCCACCCACATTGTCGAGGGGGTCAGGGGTCACCGAAGCGATCCCCCATATCCAGCAATTCAGCCATCTCCTGCCCCCATGACCCCAGGCTTCTCAAGAACAGACCCACTCAGAGTCAGTGGTGAGTCCCAGCTTCGGAGGGAGACAGACCTGGGGCCACTCCCAGCTCCATCACTGGATGTTGTTAATAATAATAATAATAATAATAATAATAGTAACAATGGAGCCCATTGGAGAAGGCCTTCCTGGGCTGGGGGGGCATTATCTTATCTAATCCTCACAGCAGCTCTGTGAGGTTCCTCTGGGCTGAATTACCCAGCCTCTCAGAGCCTTGGTTTCCCCTTTGTAAAAGGGAAATGAAAAGCAAACCTAGTTCATCTGATGTGTGGATTAAATGAGATAATGTAAATCCTGTGTTTGGCACTCAGCGGGGGCTCCGAGAAGGGTGGCTGTGAGCCATGCTGCAGGAGCTCAGGAGCCCAGGTGTAAGGGGCAAGCAGATCTAGGAGAGGGGAGAGAGTGAGGGGTGCAAGGGCTGAACTGTTTGGGAGCAAACCCTAAATCTGGGAACGGAAGTCCTGACGGAGGGGCAACAGGGACCCCCAGCCCCAGTGCAAAGAGCACGCACATCCTGGCGTTCCAGACTGTTGGAATTAGCCCTCATGCTCAGTTTCTCTTCCAGCTGAGGGAGGTAAGAGCAGGAAAGGAGGGCCCTTCCCACTCTCCCTTCAGTCCCGCCCCCCCCCCCCCCCCCCCCCCCCCCCCCGCCGACTGCCCTGCTTGTGACACACACGAGTCACACCATTCTCTGCAGAAGTCAGAGATGTGGGCAGGTGGGGAGTTAGGACAAAAAGACGGAAGTGGCTCCATGAGGAGCCTGGAGTAGAGACCCGTAGAGTTCTGCCTCAATCTTGCCCTGGGCCTTGGGGGCAGCTCACCTGCTTGGGGAGGCTGGGCATGCTCTCTAGGCTCTGCAGTCTCCCCTGGACATCCCGCATGCTCTCTTGCAGTGCCCGAACTGTCCCCACCAGCCACGTGTCCAATTCCTGGGGCCCCAGCGCGCTGCCCTCTGCCGAGCACAGACACAAGGAACGGGGCTCAGGAGGCAACTCAGCTAGGGACAGGGTGGTGGCAGGCTGGGGCAGGTCTGGGGAAAAGTAATAGAAGAGTGCAGTCCCTTGTAAAGTGTGCCTTTTATAAAGTCCATTCGAGTGGCTGAGTAACAGGCTGCCACGGGTTTGAATCCCAGCACTGCCATTTAGCTGTGTGACTTTGGGTAAGTCAGAAACTTCCCTGAGCCTCATTTTGTCATCTGAAAATTGGGGGAAGAGGTCATTGCCTTCACAGGGCTACTCAATGACCTGCTTACTCAGAGGAAGAAAGGAAATAATATTTATGAAAGTACCCCTTAAAGGACATGGCACACTGGAAGTTCTAGAAGGAGACAGGACAGAAATCACTGTCCTTTGACAGTCTCACATGGGAAGCCTACAGAGAGGGGGCCGGGCAGGGACTTTGCCCATCCAGGCTGGTGTCTGGCTGTTTGGCAAGTGCCCAGTGCCAGACTTTGACCTCCGCCCCAAGAGGGCAGTCGGGGAAAGCCTGGGGCACACCAGAACCAGAGGGAATGGCAGAAGCGGGTGAAGGGTCGGGCAAGGGCTCACCTTTCTCTGCAGGGAGCAGGGAGCTGTTTCTGGTGTCAGGCTCTCCTCCAGGGGCTCCCTTCTGCTCTGTCCAAACCTGCTGAGATGAGGCACAGGTCCAAGGGTGGGGGTAGGGCAGCAAGGGCCCAGTGGGGTGGGGAAGGCAGGGAATGATGGGTAGTCTCACCAGCTCAGGCTCCAGTTGCTCCAGGGAATCACAGAAAACCTCGGAGTCCAGGTCCCTAGGTGGCCGGGACTCTGGGCAAGGGGAGGTAACATTAGTGACAGAGGGAGGCTATAGAAGAAGGAGAGGGGTGTGCAATGGGGCAGAGGCAGCTGCTCAGGGGGCACTAGAGACAGGAGGCAGAGACAGGTCCCAGGAGTGAGGTCCTGGCACTGGAATCCCAGATCCTGCCCCCCGGCCTTTGCAAGCACAGGAGGTCTCAGTATCTGTGAGCATGAGGCGTGGCATCCAGCCTTCTCCCCTTACCCACCCCACGGGAAGCCCCCCACCCACCCCTGCTCTGGGTTTGGCTCTCTGTCCCTCCGGCCCAGGCACTGACCTGGACTGGGGGGTGCTGGTTCCCTGGGGAGGCAGGGAGGCTCTGGGGCAGCCCCAACATCTCCATTCAGTACCTGCTCCCTCCAACCTGCTGAGACATGGCACCCAGAGGTGGGGCTGGGAAGAGGCTGGTGCTTCCCAGTGAGATCAACCCCTGCTCCCCATCAGCTATGAGCTCTGCCTGAGACCCACGCCAGCAGGGGCACTGGGTGGAGTCCCTACAGGGACATCACCTGGAGCCCTCTGCCCCCAAATTCCCCCTCCAACTGAGCAGCCCCCTCTGCCTGGACCTAAGAAAATTCACTCAGCACTTGTGGAGCTCACAGCCTGGGGGCCTGACCTGTGACCCTTCTCAGGAAGGTTTCCGGGGGCCTCGGCATATCGGGGATCACCTGGTACAAGGGCTCGAAGTAAGCAAACATGTCCTCTGCCACCTCGCCCAGGGGCACTGTGTCGATCACCTGTGGGGGAGGGGGTCTGTTGGGTAGGGGCTGCTACCACTACCACTACCTACCACTGTCCTCCTATCCCCCCTTGAGCCAGGTCCCCTCCACCCTGCTCCTGCCCTGTCATGCCCCTCCACCCTGTGCCCCGTCAGGGACCAGAGACACGCATGGTTGGGGAGACAGCATGAAGGTGGTAATTCCTACAGGTGTGTCAGTGTGCAGGAAACATAATGGGGGTCAGCCCTGGAAAGGCTGGGGACAGAAAGAAGCCTGCAGCCTCTCCCTACCTTCTGAGCCACCAGCTTCATCTCAGTGATGTAGGCAGACATGGCCTCCTCCCTGCTCATCTTGCCCAGGCTGTTCCAGGCATCCCTGGGGGGCAGAGAGCTGTGAGAGGCTGGTTGACAGCTGAGGCTTGTTTGCCCGGCCGGTAGGGAGCTCACCACTTATATCGTCCGATTGGGTCCCAGAACCCAGGCCGGGGGACCAGGCAGGGTCCCATGGTAGCTTGCTTGTAGTAGCTGTAGAATCTCAGCATCTCTTCGTAGGAGGGGCGGTAAGAGCCTGGGCAGAGGGGTGGGAGTGGAAGGCAGAGCATCATCCTCAGGGAGATGGGATGAACCACCCTTGTAATGGGTAGAGATGGCGAGGGCTCCGACCCAGCGGGACAGGGGCAGGAGGCAGACGAGATCCCCAGGGCAGCCCAGGCAGGGACTTATCTGCATCAACTGCAGGGATCAGAGGCAGACCCCAATCTTCTTGACCCCCAAATGCAGGTCCCCGTGCCCTCACCATTCTTAGGCAGGTTCTGAATGACACTGACTGCGGCCTGGAACTGTTTCTGGCAGTCTGGTTCTGGGCTTTCATTCTCGGTACCCATACCCAGCGGCTCCGAGCCCTGGGGACCCACTTTTGAGCGACTCTGCAAGAACAAGCCTCCGTGTGAGCAGACCTCCACGGTCCACCCCGGCACACACCTCCGTAAACCACTGATCCACTTTCCAGAGGAGCAAACAAAGCTCTATACCTGAGTGAGTGAGACACCCCGAGAGGTCACAAGCTGCGGCTGAAAAGACTCCTTTTCCAACCCCAGGGGAGCGTGGGTGGGGCCCGGGTGGGCGGAGAGGACCCCGGTGGGTGGGTGGAGGCAGGTGCCAAGGGTCGCTGTCCCTCCCTCTCTAGATGCACCTCTCCAACTCCTAAACAGGAGAATGGGCAAGCCAAGAGGAGTCAGGGCGGGGCCAACAGTCTCCCACCCTGGTCCCCCACCCGCTCTGCCCTGGGGTCCCCTACCCCAGCCGCTCGGCCATCAGGCACTCACCCTGCAGCGCCCACTACCCGGACTTGGGCGCTCTGTCGCCACTAGGCCCGCGGCTTCCGACTGACCTCCGGGCCCAATCTGACCGGGATGTGGACGCCGGGGGGAATTTAAGCCAATGAGAGAGCCCGTTTCAGCTTCTTCTTCTATCCCTCAACCACTCAGCGCGGTCCTTTCAAGATAATGCAAATAGTTTAGCTGTGCGTCTCCCAATCAGTCGAGGCGGATCCGCCGGCCGGCTCCCCGACCTTGTGGGGGCCAGAGGAGGGAGGAAGCGCCACCTGGTGGACATAGTGAAACGACGCGGAGTCCTCGCGCCCCCTGGTGGAAGCCCGCGTCTGGCAGCTGAACCCAGGTCCTGCAGAACCGAGCGACTCAACTCAGTTCCCCCGACCCTTCTAGGCGCTGGGGATAAAAAAAAAAAAAAAAAAAAAGGGAGCCATGCCCTGGAGGAAGAGGAGGTGCTGGAGGAGGGGCACTGGAGCTGAGTTTTGGAACACGTAAGTGTACGCCAGGAGAAGAATGAGGAAGGTCATTCCTGGAGGAAGGAGTTGCAGGATCAAAAGTACAGGAAGAGTATCCCGAGAGGGGTGAGGACCCAAACCAGTAGGCCGAACCTCTCGGTCGAGGATATTTGAAAGTGGGCTAGAGCACGTAGGTGGCAAATCTAGGTCCTCGGGAATTAAGCTTTCTCTTTGAGGTGCCACACTCTTGGCCGCCGCCGAGGGGCGGTGTGCTCCCGGCTCTCCGCACCCAACCTAGGGCAGTTGCAAACCCTAACAGGGTTAGTCTCCTGCCATCCCCCACTTCGAGCACGGATAGTCTGATGGTTTCACATATAGCAAGTGAACACATGAGGCGGTCACCAGGACCCACACTCGACGTTGACCCACAGGCTGATGTCCCGGACCTCTACACAGGGTGCGACGGCCTTCCCGGGGCAATCGAACGCCCCCTGGGGCGCCAACCCAGCCAAGCCTCGAACCCCGAACCGAGTTCAGCCGGGTATTCTAGACTTAGTGCCACCCCATCTTCCCCAGCTTTGAGACTTCTGCCACTGAGGGACCAGCAACTGGCCTGGCTCGGAGAGGGTTAATCCTATGACGTCACAGCAAAGGCTTCCTACCCCCACCCATCCCTCCCCCCTCCCCCAACCCTCCACTTTGGGCTGCCCTCCCGCCTGGCTCAGCTCTCGGGGTTCTCTCGGCTTTCCAGGCCGGCCCGAGGACCCTTGGCCCAGCACGAGCCGCCCCGCAGACTCGGTCCCCTGTCTGGCTCCCTCCTAAGGCCTCCCGGCGGGACAGGGAAGGAAAAGATGGAGAGGGGTCCTGAGTCCGCCTCGAGTCAGGATCCAGAGAACGGAGTGTCTGTGGCAGAGGACAATCCTCGCCCCTCCGCTGGCCCCCCACCCCCCGAATAGAGGCTCGGGTCACCGGTGGGGCCGGGAGCCGAGGACCGCTTGGAGAATGCGGAGGCGGACTCGCGAGCGGCGGACGGACGCGGAGACTCGGGGGTACGCAAGCCGGCCCCCGTCCCTTCCCACACCTCGCGGAGGACACACCTCCCGGCCTGGGGTCCCCCCGCCCCCCGCTCCCCGCCACCGCCTCGCACCTCCCCCGGCGCCGTCCTCGGCCCCGCCCCTCCCCTGCCGGGCCCTCCTTCTCCCGACCTCGTCCCTCCTTCTCTCCCCGCTCCCGACACCACCTCTCTCCCACTCCCTCCGGGCGCCGCTAAGTTTCTGCGCTCGGGACCGCGCGTAGAGCCGGGGCCGGGCCGGAGCGGCGTCCCCGCTGCCTTGGCCTCGAGCGCAGACCCCCGGCCCGGCCCCGGCCCCACCGAGCCATGCTGTGCGGCCGCTGGAGGAGCTGCCGCCGCCGGCCCGAGGAGCCCCCGGTGCCGGCCCAGGTCGCGACGCCCGTCGCGCTCGCGTCCCCGGACGGCGGCAGCAAGAGGCCCGGGCTGCGGGCGCTGAAGAAGATGGGTCAGTGACGGACGGGGGCGTGCGGGGTGGGCGCGGACTGCCGCGGGGGGCCGCCTGGGACGGCGGGGGTGTGCGGGCGAGCCGTCGTGGGCTTCCCGGGCGGCGGGGGTCGGAATGCCAGCACCGTTCCGGCTGGGGGGTCGCACCTTCGGTCACCCGACGTTCCGGGGCCGAGCGAGGCGCGCCGGTGGCCTTCGCTGCCCACCAGGAGGCGCCCGCCGGGCGTGCTGGAGTGGGAATTTGGGCGCCGGGCGAGGATCGGGGTCCCGGCGGATCTGGTGCATAGAGTGGGGGAGAGAGGCTGGGGGTGTCCCTCACCCGCCTCCCCAGCGCCCTGGGCCTTCCAGGGTCCGCGGGCGCCCCGGGCACCCTGGGTTCTTGGCCGCCCTTAGGGGGGCAGGGGAGCTGGGGAAGAGACCAGCCCCTCAAGCCAGTCCTCCAGCCCTGCAGCCCCCACAGGGGTTGCAGCAGCGACGCAGCACTGGTAGGACTGGTCGAACTGGTGAGAATACTGTCCTTGAAGTCAGAAAGGCAGAGTCTCAGGTTTGGGGGACGTGACTGCAGGGAAGGAACGTATGTAGGCTGTGGCTCATTAGGCATCTCCCAGAGTCCGACTGCATCGGGTGGTTACAGAGGCGGCATCACCCAGTCTTCCTCACTCTCCGGAGAGGTACCTGGTGTGATTCCCATTTCACAGATGAGGAAACTGACTCAGAGAAGTGGAAGAATTTGTCAGTGGCCACACAGCTAGTTAAGGGCAAGGGCTGGCATGGAGGCTGTGCGCCTCCACACTGCCGAAGGGACCGCTCAGAGCCTGGGCAAAGTGTGGCCGACTGGGAGTGGGGAATGTGTGCGAGTGTTGTAGAAAACGTGCCGTACCATGAAACTGGAACGGTGTGTTCGAACTGCTGTAGGTAAATAGTTAATGATGGAGAGGTGGGTGTGGGGCTGGGGGAACAGGGCAGGGCTGCCCAGGAGACCAGTGTGGATCTTGGGGCAGAATTCAGGGGACCGATTGCCAGTCTTGCCTTCTCTTTGTCACTGCCCCCCACCTTGTTCTTACTTCTACTTCCTGTCACTCATGCGATCTGAATTGACTGAGCTCTGTCCATGTTCTGAGCACTGAACCCTGCACTCTCCTTACAGAGACATAAGACACATGATCTCCGCCTTACCCTCCAATCATTCATGCATTCGGCAGACATCTATTGAGTGCCTATAGTATGCTCTGTCCTGGGATTCAGCAACAAATAAGACAGACACAGTTCTGGCCCTTTAGAGAATGGAGGCATCAGCAAGGAGGGCAGACAATGAGGCAAAGAAACCATACTAGGAAGGGAGGGGACAAATTAGATGCTGGGGAGCCGGCGAGGGCCCTGGCTGCACCCCAGAGCCAGAGGGAGACTGGAGCGAGGCGTGGGGGAGAGGCAGGTGGGGGCCCGATCCTCAAGGCCTCTCCTTATAGAGTTATGGATTTGCCCTGGGGACAGCAGGAGCCCCAGAGGGTCTCAGGTAGGAGGAGGGAGGCAGGGCTCAGGCAGAGTAGAGGCACGTTGGACGAAGGCAGGGGTGAATCAAAGAGAACCATAGGAGGGAGGCTGAGGAATCAGTTGGTCAAGCTATGGTGGTGCTCGAACTTGGGCCGGCGCAGCCGAGTTCGATTCTAGAACCATCTAGGAGGCGGACTGGGCTGTACTCTGCAGTTGGTGGGATCTGAAAGGTGTCTCTGGTGGGTGGCAGTGTCATTCTCTGGGCCTTGGGGAGAGGAGGATGACCGTGGGGAGTTGAGGTGCCACCGAGACATCCGGGGCTGGTGTGGGGCCGGAGAAGGAGAAGCAGAGGTGGCGGATGCTATGGGAGGCCTGGGGTGCTGCCCCCACATACCCACCTGCTTCTTCATTCCACACACGTTTGCTTAGCCCTGTCAGTGTGTCGTGGACCTGTGCCAAGGGCTGGGGCCACGGAGATGAATATCACAGCACTTTGCCCTCGGGGAGCACACAGTTTAGTAGCAGGAGATACTCGCGGACAGGTAATTACAGGCTGAGCCCAGGACTCACCCTCACGGCATGAGTAAAGCTGCATGGGGGCATCCCATCCTAGGGACACTGGCAGGACCCGTGTGGGTGTCAGAATGTCACCTGGGCTGTCCTCCCCTCCCACCGCTGCCCTGTCCTGCTGAGTGACTGCTGAGAAAGGAATGTCCAGTTTCTGGGGATGCCCCTTCCCCAGGCCTCACTGACTCCAGGAACAGGGTGGAGACACAAGCCAGGTGTCCCGGGGCCCAGCCTGTCAGGCCATCAAGGCCAGGCCCACCACCCAGGGAGCTGCCACCACCACAGCTGCTGGGACTCCTCCCCAGATGGCTCTCAGGGCTGTCCCCTGTCACGGTCATGGCCACACCCCTTGAGCTAACAGACAACAGATTTTATTCCAGGTCAAGAGACTAGGGCAGGGAGTGGCTTGGAGGTCAAAGGCTCAGAGGAGCCCGAGGGAAAGAAAGGGCTTTTGGGGTCATCTTGAGGGGGAACTGGGACGATGGGGAGGAGGGAGGAATACCACCTCCTGTCCCCCCCTTCCCCCCGGGGTTGCAGGCTTAGCTGTCCCCAGGAAGCCAGGGAATAGCTGGAGAGGAGCTCAGTGAGTACCTGCGGAGCCAGACGGAGTGCTCGGCTTGCTGAGCTTGCGTCTGGCAGGAACCTGCTTAATCCTTGGCACCCGGAGGAGACGCTGCTGCGGGCCTCACAGGGCAGATCAGCTGGCGGGGGGGCGGGGGGGGCGGTAGTCTCCAGCCCGAGGCCCACATGGCTAAGAGGCAGCCGCCAAAGCCTAGGTTTCAATGTTGGGCTCTTTATTGCCAGAATTAATGAATACTAATTAACACCTTTATAACACTGAGTGGGGGCTTTTCACCTATTAACTCCTTTAATGCTCACAATTGTATGAGGTATGTGGTACCATAAGCCTCATCTTACAAATGAGAAACTGAGATTGGAGAAGTTCAACGCTGAGAAGGAGCTAAGAGAGGATTTGAACCCAGGCGTCTGGCCCGAGGTCCAAACTCCTATCACAGTGAGGGAGTGAGCGATCTGTGCCTGGACGTGGCCCGCTACTCCTCTCCCCGACAGAGGCCCTGCCAGCCCCTAGACGTGTCCTCATAGGCTTACCACATAAAGTACAGGCTGCCCCGTTAAACGTGAGTTTCAAATAAACAACAGATCATTTGGGACAAACTCATACTAAAACATCACTTGTTGTTTATCTGAAATGTGAATGTAACTGGGCATCCTGAATTTTATCTGCCAGCCCTATCTCCCCAGAGCCCCTGACGCTCCGCCCTTGCCCCTAATCCTCCCGGTGAGCAGAGCTGAGTGGGCAGAATCCCGTTGCCTCTCCTCCCCGGCCCGCACGCATCCACCAAGTGCCACGGGGGCCAGAGGGCTCTCCCTATGGCCTGCCCAAGATGTCTCCTGCAGGGTGAGTGGGGCTGCCGTGCGTGGAGGTGGCAGGTGGGGGTCCTGGCAGGTGCCTGGCCTGGTGGGAGGGAGAGTTGGGCGGCCGTGCTGGCTAAGCCGGGGCATGCCAGGCAGGACTAGGGGGCTGGCCCGGTCATGCCGTGTGGCCTCCCTCACCTCTCCTCCTTCTTCGGCTCTGGGGAGGCCCCCTCCTACGACCGCTGCCCCCCAGATCGGCTTCACGCCTGTTCTGGCCCTGCCCGGAAGGATGCTGCCACCATCAGGAGCACTGGGTCCGGCCAGGGACAGGGGAGGCACCGCCTGCCTTTTCTGACTGTGTTGACTCTCCCAGGAATGTTACGGACTCTGGCGCTGAGCTCCACTGGGCCCTGGCGCTGGGTGTGGCAGCCAGCCCCGGCGAGGGGGGACAGCCTTGGTACCTGAAGAGCTGGGGCTGCCTGCTGGCTGGCGAATTAGGCTGGGAAGGGGTCTGGGACCCCTCACCATCGCGTGTTCCCTCCCAGAAGCATCGGGAAAAGCTTCTCTTCCTCTCCTCCCCCACTTGGCATGAAGCTATACGCTGTTGCTATTCGCTGCATTCTCACATTCC